CCAACTTTCGGGCTGGTTAACGGTCGACCGGCCCGGTGGGCCTCAAAACTTGGGCCAAAAACTTGCCTGACTTATATGTAAGGGCCGATTCAGTGAATCGGCCCAAACAAAATAAAAATAAGAATAGAAAACAAAGTAAAACAGTAAAAAAACGACCCGAAACTTGCCCGATAATACCACGTGTCTGAGTCAAAGACTCGTACATACGTGTCGATTCGGACCCGATTCAGGTCGGTTTCCAAACTCGGTTGCGGGTTCGGGTCGACCCTGACTAGTGCTATTAAATTAAATGAGTCTGGCTCGGCTCGGCTCGAGCTCGGCTCGTTAAGACTCAAGTTCGGCTCGAGTTCGAGGCCTTAACGAGCCGAGTTCGAGCTCACTAAAAGCTCGTTTGGCTAACGAGCCGAGCTCGGCTCGGCTCGATAAGGCTCGATAATAGAATTTTTTTATAATTTTTATAGTTCGGCTCGTTAAGCACTACAAAAAAAATAGAGTTCTAGTGAAGAATTTTTGTCACTATATCTACAATTGTAAATGTACTGACAGTAGATATAGTGACAACAATTGTAGATATAGTGACAACATAGTGACAAAAAAATTCTTCACTAAAACTCTATTTTCTTGTAGTGAAAGCTCGAGATCAGCTCGTTAAGGCTCAAGTTCCAGGCCTTAACGAGCCGAATTAGAGCTCGATTTTATGCTCGTTTATTTAACGAGCCGGGCTCGGCTCGACTCGTTAAGGACTTGAGCTCGAGCTCGAACACCCTAAGCTTTAGCTCAGCTCGGCTCGTTTACAGCTCTAACCCTGACCACCTCTGAAATTCAAAGTCTTCTCTCATGCTAGGGAGACAAAAAAAGGTGGAAAGAAGAAACCGAAAACACAATGAAGTTTTTCAGTTTTAAATTAATTTAAATTATGTTAGAAGAGAAATGTTCACCTACCAACGGTGGACGCATGTTAATATGCCCACTGCGTAGGTGACATGCACTCATTGGTGAACTATTTCTTTAAACATATTAACATCACCAATGAGTGCATGCCACCTACGCGGTGGACATATTAACATGTGCCCACCGTGGGTAGGGGAGCATTTCTATATTATGTTAGAATATCACTGGTGAATTGTCTCACATTATTCATACATGGAAAATAGGCTTACCTTATAAGTCTAATGAGCTACTCCTATTTTCGCCAATTGATTTTAGAATAAAACCACATTTGAGCTTCATATGATTTTCCCGTTCATGGTGTACTTCATGTTAGTGGCCCACACCCATTTTTCCCAATTTCTTACAAATTAAAAGTCGACCCTTCTGATCTGTCATTCTTTCCCTCATGCTAGGGAGACAAAAAGTAGAAAGAAGAAATATAGAAAACAAATAATATTTGGAGTTTTTAGTTTTAAATAATAATTATAATTTTAATAATTATGACAATTGACACGTAAAAGTCGATGCTTCTGATCTGTCATTCAAGCCGTCACCTTCGGAATCCAGCACTTGACGGTGGAAAACCGTTTTGACTCGTCATGCCATAAAAGTATAATGGGTAAATAACATAAATAATAGTAAGGAAGATGATATGGTCCGTTACGAAATTATTTCGTCCAGGTTTATAATTGTTAGATCACGATACTTACATGATGATTTAACAGTTACAAACTCTTGCGAAATTGTTCAATAAAAAATAGTATAATCTCAAACCAACATTAATATAAAAAAAAGTAAGAGGAAAACAATGCAATTTTGGGGGGAATCTATATATATATATATTATATATATATATATATTTGCTAGCAACGTAATTAATAAAACTCTTTTCGTTTGTCTCTATTTTTTTGTTACTTTTGCATTAATCACAATTATATTTTTTACTTATTTTATTATATAATTGCTACTATTAACTAATAATGAAAACACACTAAATGTTATTCTATACTAATTTTTTTAAACTATATATTTAAAATTGTTATTTTTTTTCACTTCATAAGCAAGTTTCTTTTATTACAATTAATTAATTATCTCTTATGGCATAACTAAACTTTTAATGATTTGTACACAAATGCTATAGTAATAATTTTATTATTTTTTTATCCAATAAATTATCATAATCGACTAGGATTGTATAAATTTAAAGATTAATATGTAGGTTAAATAGTTTATATTTATATCGTCATTATAGTAATGATAAAATTTATAAATGTGATGTACTAATTATCTAATTTATGATTTTAAAATTTTACATAAAGCATATATATACTGTATAATATTTAATTTATTTGTATTTTTGTATGTGCATATACTGAATAATACTAGTTAAAATTAAATAGTACTTATAAATTAATTAAAAAGCCGTACATTTGTTGACTTGGATGATTGGCGTAGAATTAAGTCTGTATTAAAATAATGAGTCTGCAAGAAACTGAAGGAGGCATGCTAATGTCTAATCCAAGTGTCGTTAGTCTCATCATTTCCAATATTATTGTTGAAATTAATTTGCTTTTCCAATACCAAAAAAAAAAAATGCAAATTTAGTCCATTAGAACTTTGGAAAAAAATAATTTTCTAGATAATAAAATTTATTTTGTCGTTATGATGCAA